AGAGAGAGAGAGAGAGAGAGAGAGAGAGAGAGAGAGAGAGAGAGAGAGAGAGAGAGAGAGAGAGAGAGGAGACAGAGAGAGAAAGAGATGGAAGCAGGACAGATAGCGAAAGCGGACAATGTTGTTTCACTCCAAATAAATGTTCCTCACAATGGTTTTAATTATGCAGATAATTGTGGTGTCCCTCTCTGTCTTCTTCTTTCCCTCTTTCCTGCTTCCTTTCCTCAAACAAATTTAATACCCTACTCTGTGTGTGTGTGCGTGTGTGTGTGTGTGTGTGTGCGTACTCACCCCTTTACAGATAGCGACTGCCTCCTTGGACATTGACTTGGGGTAGGAGACGTGATGCTCCATAATGGACTGAAATAACTCATCCTCATCTTCACCGTCAAATGGAGGCTGGAGAGGAGAGGAGGGGAGGGAGGAAAAAAGGAGAGGAGAAGCAAGGAGAAGAGAGGAGGGAGGAGGAGAGGAGCAGAGAAAAAGAGAGAGGACAGTTAAGGAGGGAGAAGGAGAAGAAAGAGGTGGAGAGGAGGGGAGATGAGAGGAGAAGAGGAGGTGGAGGGAGGAGAGGAAAGCAGGGAGGAAGAGGGGAAAGGAGAGGACAGTCGAGGAGGAAGGAGGAGGTGAAAGGGGTTGAGAGGAGTGAAGGAGAGAGGAGAGGAGGACAGTTGAAGAAGAAGATGAAGAAAGGGGTGGAAAGGAGGAGGGAGGGAGGGAGGAGAGGGAGTGAAGCAGAGGGCAGTCAGGACAAATAGAGGACATTTTAATTGAATCATTAGAAGCTTATTTTGTCTGAACTCAGAATGAAAACACTGCAGGCCTTTAACACTCACAAATTCACAATATGCACTCCAAATGAGATACCCAGGATTTGAAAATGTCACATCTATTCTAAATATTATTAATGCCACGAGAGAAAAACTCATCAAGGGGTATAATTTAATAGCTAACCTTTCATTACACCATGTCAAGTTTTAAAGGCTACGATCATGAGTGTTTGTTTTTTGTCACATTCTGTCATGAATACAAATGCTGTTGATAAAGGAGTTTATTTTACATATCAATGCTGTCTCACAAGATTGTTCTACTGGGTTTAGTAATTCTATTCATAAAACTTATCTCACACACACACACACACACACACACACACACACACACACACACACACACACACACACACACACACCTGTCCAGCCAGCATCTCATAGAGCAATACTCCAAAGGCCCACCAGTCCACAGATTTCCCATAGGGTTGGTAGGCTATGATCTGAAACACAAGAGACCTCGTTTAGAAAAGTCAGTTAAATCACTGAGACAAGGAAGGGCAGTGTGTTAGAATAATACTTGTTAAATACGAGCTAGAATACTTCAAAGTGTGTAAGTTATGAACGACCAAGCTGCCGGCAGTCCTTCCTCTCCTCACACACACTCTACCTCAGGAGCTATGTAGTCCGGTGTTCCACAGAAGGTCTTGGTGGTGACTCCGTCGTTCATATTTTCTTTACACATGCCAAAATCTGCTATCTTAATGTGGCCCTCACAGTCTAGCATCACGTTATCCAGCTTCAGGTCTCTGCAGGAGGGAAACGCAACGTTAACGGGGGGCCGACACTCAATTCATGGACCACGGAGGCTCATCGTCCCAACATTTCCTCCCCTCTGCAGTCTTTCTTGCTCAATTTAGTGTTTAGTGTTTAAGAGGGAACAGTTAATCCAAGAGGTTAAAGCTACAGTTACATTAAACCAGATGACGGATTCTGATTTGGATGGCGTCATTTGTGGGGGCGGATTCTCGGCATGATATTATAAACAGCAGGAAGCAGTTAATTGTAGTTGAAGTCTTAAAGGTCAAAAAGCTACTTTGCTTCTTCTGTGGCTACTGAGCGTGAGTCAAGTAGTCAGAACATCTGATTGATGATTGAATGTGATACCCTGTCTGAATATTTCAGATTAAAAGGAAGGTGTGATGAATAAACGACACGGAAATGCAAAATACTTGCCTTTCGCATCAAAGTTATTAATACTGGCAACAACAGATGTGTGCATGCGATTAGTCTGTCTGAGGTAAACTGTTGTATAGCTTATTAAGCTATGAATTTGAGTGTCCCCTGTTAGACAGTTAGACAGTGTATGTGTCGTGGGCTTTTATTCTGAAAGGTAAGAACGGAAGGACCGGATCAGTGCTGCATTCGTCGAGGTTGAGAGTAATAAAGTGGGCCGTCTCTGTTGTTGTACACTATACATTTTGAACATGTGCGGTCCACACAGCGCGATTGGTCGATGCCTTTATTCACTGAGAAAAATAAAAAGTTCTGTAAAACAATTGCGTCGCTTTTTTCGCTGTGTAATATTGTCGTTCTTTGTGTATTCAAGACAAAAACAACACTTTAAAAGAATATATTGACCCGATTCTAAAGCAAATACTTGAGAATATGGTCCTTTATTATTATTTTGAACTCAGATTGTGCAGAAATAAACCTTGTAAAATCCAATGTATCAAACATTTTATACAGCACTGCAGTACTTCAGTGATTATCACACAAAGTTGTTACAAAGGGCCTGCTTTTCAAACTTTAATACTATTATCAAGACAATGCATCCTTTCATAAACGGACAGAATCTTACCCAATACATTTGTTGTTCTGTAAATGTTGTATACTCAGCATGTTGTGTGCTGGCGGTTACCTGTAGATGATGCCCTTTAGATGAAGGAAGAACAGACCAATGGCGATCTCCGCTGCGTAGAATCTACACACGCACACACACACACACACACACAAACAGAAACAAAAACAGTAATTAGAAAGAGTCTGAGGGAAAGGACAGCAGGAAAACAGATGGATAAGTTGTGTGCGTGTGTGTGTCTGCATCAAAGGTCAGCGCTGTCTCTTCAAGGCCAGAGAGCAGCTGATAAGATCAACAGGAGTCTGGACACACGGACCACGCAGTCAACTGTTTGCGTGGGCCGCAGCAATCAGTGTCTGTTTCTAAAGTGCACCTAAAAGATGTCAACGGGCCTCTTGTCGGCGACGGAGAGCCGTGTAGGAACCGGAGGAGCCCGTTGAGGGCTTTGCTGGATGTGTTATCTAGTTTTTAACGCGGCTTTGGATGCTAAGCTGGAGAACAAAATACAAAAGACGAGACGCTGAGACAAAAGGTTCAAGGCATCATCAAGGCATCATCGTCCTCATCACCCACGGAGCAGAATACCCTGACTATTGTCTAATAAATAAATTAAACGGAGCAGAACAAGTTGATGGCCTTACATAAAAGAGTTTCTCACTCCGTTCAACTTGCCCTGCAGCAGTCTAAACCTTCTGCCAGAGGGAAGAAGCTCTAATTCCCTATAAAGCAGATGAAGGGCAAACTCCTCCACGGCTCTCGCTTTTTTCCCCCGACAGCCCGCTTGTCAAATATGTCAGCCCGCTGGTTTGACTTGACGCCAGTGATCTCGCCAGCCACCTTAATTATATTCTGCAGTTTTGGAGGTATTCTACCGCACACTGGAAAAACTCGCAGGAGCTGCTGGATTACTTTCATTTCTTTGAAGTTCTTCAGAGCAGCGACGTGCATCGGGGCGAACAACATATCTCACCCAGAGGCCCTGCTAGGCTGCTCATCCATCAAACCGCTGATGGCTTATTCAATATGATTTTTTAAACACACTGCCAAACTGTGAAACACCTTATAAGCGTGGGATTAAGATTTTGTGTTATGATGGCATAAGAATGTGTCTTTGTGTGCGTGTCTGTACTCACACAGCATGGGGCTCTTTGAACTTGCCGACCTGCTGAATCTGATACATGAGATCTCCTCCGTTTATGTACTCCATGACAAAATATAGACGGTCCTACGGAGACATAGAGGGGAAGATAAAGAGAGAGAGAGAGGGGTCAAAACGTACATGTTTCAGGGAAATGGGAGGCTACAGGGACAAAAAGTAAGACACTGTAGAGAGAAAGGGATCGCTCAGAGGTAGATAGAGAGTGATGGGTCAAATAAGAGAAGATTAAAGGAGAGAAAAATGACATAGGTAGTGAAAATAGAGGGACAAAGGATGGAGAAAGAGGAAAATGAATCGAGGAAGAGGCGATTGGGTTGTCGTCCAAGCGGTCCTCAACTGAGGGAACACAGCAACATCCATTTAAGAGCTAATTCTCCTCCATTATCTGCAGAAATTGCCAATAAGGTACAGTATGTGAGGGATTTGTGTTTGTGTGTGTGTGAGAGTATACTTGCACTGCCTGATAAGCTTTATGAACAGTTGTTTGTGCAATATGGGCTCCTTGTGTGTTTGTCCACAGTTTATGATTAAAATGTATTAGTGTGTGTGCATGTGTGCATGAATGTTATAATTGCCTTTATGCGTGTGTGTGTGTGTGCGTGTGTTATAACTTCCTGCCAAGTCCCATGTATCAAAAGCCTTCCTCTGGTCAGAGAATTAGTGCCGAGGAGGATTAACACACTCACTTCTTGTGTGTATGTATGTGTTTGTGTGTGTGAGAGAGCGTGTGTGTGTGTGTGTGTGTGTGTGTGAGCGAAGGCCAGGTCAACTCTATTTGTCCGGCCTTTAACCACAACCTCACACAGATTCCCAACACGTTGTGTTCACTGATCAGTGAAAACATGCACAAACGAGTACGTTTGTGCATGTGAATGTAAATGACTTGTTCTCAGTGTTATGAGACCAGAGAGCTATATTTACTCCTCTGTTGACTCATCTTAAGCGTAATATGGATTATACGTCAGGAGTCGAGCGTGAATCAAATGTGAATCCGGCCTGCGTGTTCCAGCTGTGAGCTGGTGACAAGCTGTTCAGACCACAGCGCTCACCAGCAGCGCGGCTGTGCTCTCCAGCAGGACGCCGCGCTGTGGCCCCCTTCAGATACGATGGAATGTGAAGGTGTGGGGGCCCACGGATGGAGGCAGTTTGCAAGGAATGTAAAATTGACACTGTGTGTTTGTTTGTGTGTGTGTTTGTATGTATGCAACCAACCAAGCAAACATTTCCCCATTAAACAGAAGTTCATAGAGAGCCTGAAGCAGCAGCAAAAAAACTGTAAAGTGCAGCTGAAAACCGTCACAGAATGTTGGTGTTGTTTTGTACGGATTAAACAAATCCGTACAAAATGTATGTGTCAGTTAGCAAAGCATCAGAGGTGCAAGTAGGTAGACTTTGTTACCTTCTGTTCGAGCCAGTTTAGCTTGTTTCTCCCTGTTTCCAGTCTTTATGCTAAGCTAAAGTAACCATAGCCTCACATGTGATGCACAGATCAAGGGTATGATATCAGCTTACTCTTGGCAAGAAATTAAACATGAGGCTTTTTTTTTTTTTAATAAGACATGGATATATTATTGTACATCTGTTCACATACCATGCTCTGGAAAGTGGAGTGCAGCTGTGTTAAGAACGGGGGCTTTCCAGCCAACGCCAACACTCTCTTCTCCACCATGGTGCATTCCACGTCATCATCCTGGATCACGACGTCCTTCTTCAGGATCTTTATGGCGTACAGCTCCTCTGTCGTTTTACGCTCCCCCAGCATCACCTAGAGAGAGGAGAGGAGAAGAGGAGAGGAGGAGAGAGAGGAGAGGAGGAGAGAGAGGATGGATAGGAAACACGAGAAAGAATGAAGTCATCAATATTCAAAATCCTTATGCCACACAGCTCCCGTCAGGCCTTTATAGTAACATCACCTTGGAAGAAAGAACCGTGCAGGGGAGAAAGGGACGAAGGAGGGCAAGGAAGGGAGGGAGATGTGGGAGGCAGGGAAAGGGGGAGAGATAGAGGAGGTACCGTAAAGGGCAGGGACAAAAGAGTGGAGGGATAAAGGAAAGCTGTTTTGGGTTAGACAGTCAAAATAGGAATATAAAGAGTGAGGACAGGAGGGAAGGAGATAGAAAACCGATTCATCATCTTTCAAGATGTCATCTGACGAGAGAAAAAAAGGAAAAGAAAGGCAGGACAGAGGGGAGAGGAGGCGATAAAAGGCTGCATGTTGCTCAGAAACCCTGTCAAACGGCGAGGTAAACGCCACTGAGACAATAAAGCAGACATGTCATCAACTTGCATCATCCCTCTGTGCTAACCCCGTTTAAAATAAATAAATAATAACTCCACAAAAATGGAGCTCACAGTGTTTCATCTGCCAGGATATTTTGCGTCCTTTTATTCTTATTCCACCTGGTTGGTTTGTTGACATCATAAGAATGAAGCGTTCGCTAAACCACTCGCCCCAAAAAACGACTGTCCAACCATAGCTTTAGAACCGGTATTTGTACGACCGCTGAGGTTTGGATTAGTCCACATGTTGGAGCGGTGCCCTTCCTCTTGTCTCCCTCTTCAGTGAAGTAAAGACGGAAACGAGCTGCATGGCGTCAAGATCGTGGAGAAATGTTAAATCATCGATACGATTCTGGACTGAAATCTTTGGTTGTGGACAGAAAAGGTTTATCACGCAGAGTGCAGATCATTTTGGGCTTCTGCACGAGTTCTATACTGTTCAGCTTCTCTGTGCCCTTCAAGAACTTCAGGGAGGAGAAAAAGTAGAAAAGAAATAGAGGGGATTATGTCATACTTGTTTTTCTTTAGGTCACACTCTGCGGGGGTGTGTGTGTGGGAGGAGGGGGGGGGGGGGGGGGGGGTGGGGGGGGGGGGGGGTGGAGATAAAAGAAGGTGGATGGGTGAGGGTAGTGGGATTAAACCAAAGGAGGAAGAGATTCAAGGAGGAAGTGAAGGGCAGAGAAAGAGACCGACAGCAGTCAAGAATCCTATTTGTTGTAATTGTGGAGTTTGGGAGCACATCTGCTTGTAATTACACCTGTGAGAGGCACACACACATAAAAACACACTGTGCAACCACTGTGAGATGCCTCCGCATTGCTGTGTATATATATATGTGTGTGTATACGTGTGTGTGTGTGTGTGTGTGTGTGTGTGTGTGTACTCAGCAGTTTAAAAGTCTTGTAGCCAAGGTCAGACTCATGCCGCTCACAGCCTCTCAAACAGAGAAGTAAACGTTTCCGTCTCGTCTTCCTCTCTCAGGTCTCTTTGTTCACCTCGTCCTCTTTTCATCACCATTTCTTCCCTCTTGTTCCTCCATTTCTTTCTCACTTCTTTCTCACTTTGCTCTTGCTTTCTCCTCCCCAGTCCTCACATATTCTTTCCTGAAGAAGCCCGGAGCCGCTGCAAATAGCAGGCGAAATGTAGGTCAAGTCTCAGCTCGCAGGTCATCTCATAAAAGTTGCAGCAGGCTTGTGACCAGGTCGTAAAAGTTCAACTCTCTGGATGGAAATCTGTACGGTGGAATTATACGAGCAAGCGTAAGCGTTAAAGGCGTCTGAGCTGTGTGTGTGTGTGTGTGTGTGTGTCAAACCTTAAAGGCTTCACTTTCTTGTCGAGAGGTAGATGGAAAAACTAGACATCATTCTTCATCTCAGTCTGTTCAATATAAGGCTACAGCCAGGACATGTTTATCTTAGCTTAGCATGAAGACATAATGAGCTAATTGGGGAACTTTAGAGGTTATATGGTGGTTATGTCTTTATGCTAAGATAACCGACTGCTGGCTGTAATCATATTAAACTGACAGATATGAACGTGTACTTCCCAAAATGTTGAACTATTTCTTTCAAATGAATTTGGTAACTAGCTCTTTAAAGAAATGACAGCACACAAAATATACTTTTCTAGCTAGCGAACATGCTCGGTGCAAAGAGTGAAAGATGCATCAGGACGCCGTATGACAAAGCTACAGTGAGACATGGAAATGCTTATTTTAAGAAGTCAGATTGAAGCTCATCAAGTCTCTCGACTTTTATTTAGTGTTGCTGTGACAGTAAACTAAAAGCAGGAAGAAAAGAAAGAAAAGAACATTTTCAGAAACGGGAAAGTTGTAACTTGTGTAAATTCTGCTGAAACTAGTCGACTGACTACAGAGTCCTTTCACTCTTCAACGAATAAAAGTACTTTAACATTTTATCTTTAAACAAGGCAGAGAACAGTCGAGAAGAAGGTGGAGGAAAAACGGCTGAGCTTCACATTACACGACTAGCATGCTGTGTTTGTAGTTCCCACAAGGCTAATTGAGTTTTGGGACCTCAACAAAAGGATCTTTCATCCAAAAAAAAAAACTTTTCTTATGTTAATTTGCATAAAACACAGAGTGAACCTCGTGAATTTTGCAACTGCTCAAATGCTGAAGTTAAGCTGAGTGTGATTGATTTATTGATGTGTTTAATACACCGTTCCTCTGGGGAGGAGAGATAGTCGAGATCTCCAGTGAAGAAGAAAACAGCACAGCTGACATGTTCTATACGTGTGGATATGTGCTGTGAAGCGCAGAGAGCAGAACCGCTACCCGCTCAATGCCTCGCTGTCTTTTGGACATCAGCTTAACGACGTAAACGGGAAACATATCACACTCACTATTCTTTCCAAAACCTCCAAGTACAGAGCGATGAGAGTGACCTTATATCCACCTCATCAGTTTTTTCCCCTTTGAGATCTGAAACTTAGCAGCTTTACACCATATAAATATTCAGGTATGATAATGTAGAGGGGTTACTGGGTTTGGGATACTACAGGGAGCGCAGCACAGATGGACAAAGACACGCAGGTATATGTGAGTGTGTGTGTGTGTGTGTGTGTGTTTGCATAGAGGGCAGCCACATGTAAAGAATGTGCATCAGAAACGTCAGCATTAAACTTTAGATATGTATTGAAGTTGGATCTATGCTGGTGGTATCCTTTGACAAAAGCAGCTGTAAGTGTGTGTGTGTGTGTGTGTGTGTGTGTGTGTGTGTGTGTGTGTTTGTGTGTGTGTGTGTGTGGACTCGTCCCATATGGCAGCAGTGTGACTCTATGTAAATACAAACTGTATAAAGTTGAAAACAGAGAGGAAGGACACCATCTGGCCCGAAGCTCATTTTACACCACCACAAGGACGAGGACGACACCAGAGGAGGACGACGTGAAACCACAGGGTTCCATCGGAAATCAAAAGATGCACAAGACACAGAGCAACAACAGGAGCTTTTCTTTTTTTTGCCATAATTACAAGCTGCCCATGGTGACAAGCACAAGTTGTTTGTCATTATACCTCTCACGCTGGTTTCAGTCTCATTCATAAACTAACTATTCTACCATGAATCGGGGCTTTTGTCACTATTGGCGACGCCCTTTTTATCCAAGAAAGTTGTCCGGGGTCATTTGGCAGAAAAGCAGTCCTCAAGATATTAACTGTGTGACGACCCCTCCCCTCCACCAGCGGTCTGTGTCTGTTTCCTGTCAGCTTGTCTTGCAGGATGTTGATCGGCAGCTAACGAGCCCCACCTGAGCCTGCTGAAGTGGCCAGCTATAAAGAAGCAGCCTCTTCTTTGGCTGATGCGCATCTTCTCCCTGCCTCCTGTTTGGAGGACCTGGCTGCTGTTTAGTTTAGTTATTGGTTCATTAAATAAATGTGTATTTATTGCTTTTAACTCGTCTCGTCTCCCTCATGTTACGGCCTTTTGAGCCGGGTCGTGACAAATGTCGTAAATGATGCCGCGGTGTTTTCTCCGCTAACCTTGTGGAGTGACTTCAACCATGGAAAACCAATGCGCTGCACGTCACTGCATGACACCGCTCTGTGTAGCATGACAGAGGGCTGTGCTCTGTCACTCTAAACTGTCATGTATGATGTAGTCTACGCTGTCTGTCTGGCCCCACACAGATGAGGGACTTCTTCAGGCGCTCAAGTGTGCTAACTAATACATTTGAAGTTTTTTGTTCCGAAATGAAATCAGGCCTTTGGTGATTTATTTCTGGTTTTATCAGACTTTCATAATACGTCCACATTGGCATCTCATCCTGCAAGAGCTAAAACAGAGGACCACAGTAAGTCGAGAGGCATCAAGTTTGGGCTTTTGTTGCTGTCATGAAGGCAATTCTGAAACCATCTGCAAAATTGAATATTTAAGAATAAATAAGCAAAAACCAAAGTTCTTAAACACCTAAGACTCCGATCACGCAGAGACGTTACAGCAGATCTTATTTTTTCTATGTAACGGTGCGGCCGGCATGCCCTCCTCTCTTGCACCACGAGTCTCATTTTTTAATCGGTTTGTAGACTCGCAAAAAAGTTTAAATATTCTCAACTTTTCAGCCCACGGCTCAATGTCACACTTGGCCCAGTGCAGCCAATCAAATCTAGCAAGATGCAGTCTTTACTTCTTTACCACTTCCTTTTTGAGGAGGTCATGTGGCTTTACACAAACACATCCACGGACCGCCTAACTAGCTATGGTCTGATTCTATAACTTTCTGATACGCATCTGTATGAAAAGCCTGCATAGTGTAATAGTATAATTACAACTAACGAGTACACATTGTCACCATCACTGTTTTAACAGTAACATGACGAGCTGATCCCAGCGTTGTGCAGAACTGATTTGAGCCACAATAAAGAGAGAGAGACCTCCACGCTGTGTGTGGTAGGTGATTAAACTGGTCAGGTTTTTGCTAAAATGCAGGCGGAAGTTGCAGATGTTCATCTACACATCGAGTTAAAAGGACAAAACAGCGAAGTTGGAGCACTTCCTTGTTGCGGAAACGTACAAAGTCAATAAAAGTCTTGATGATTTTAAGGTTTGGCATTAATTCACACAACACAGACTAAAATGCTCTCACCAATGACCTGTAATACCACCGAAAAAATGCAGCTTCATGCGCGTGTTTGTGTGTTTCTGTATAGAGACGTGACGCTACAGGGTGTGTGCGTGTGTGCGTGTTACTGCCACACTGCTAGCATGTCCACAGAGAAATGTTTGCAGCAGTATTGTGATGCAGATGTCCTCAGACACTGAGGCAGAAAGAGCAGCTCTGACGGTACCAGCCTCCCACACAAACTCAGGAACCATTAAAATGACACACACGCATCACATGAACGCCTGTTTGTGCTTATGTGTGTATGTATTTCTGTCTAATGCACCATGTGTGTACTGTGTGTTTCACTTTCTCTGATCTATTGTACTGGTGTGTGTGTGTGCACAGAATGGGTCTAAATAAGGAATATGTATATATGTCGACATTTTTAGTGTACTCCTGTGTGTTTCAGGAATCTGCGTGCATGTGTGCGTCGGGTATTCCAGTAATGATCGACCTCGACTCCGTCTCTCCACATCGACATCCACACCACTGCATCGCTGTGGCTTTAAACGCCTGTTACCATGGAAACAGGCAGCCGGCACACAGGTCTGGTACACAGACAATGGTCTCTCTCTCTCTCTCTCATTTACCCAATTCTCTCTCTCGCCACATCTTCCCATTCTTTCTGCTTCTTGCCTTGATTTTCATTCATTCACGTCAGTCTTCCCTCTCCAAGGTTCCCCCTCCCCCCCACTCTCCCTCTTTTCATTCAGTCTGACATTTTTACCTCTCTCTCAATTCATTCATGTCAACCTTGCCGCCATGCTCTCACATCTCTGTCTCTCTCTCTATTTTCATCTCTCCCTCCACTTGTCACATCACCCTCTTTCCCTTCATCCATCTCTGTCTACCTGTGCTCCATCTCCTTTAATTCTCTCTATCTCCATCCTCTCTTTCCCTCCATTTTTTCTTCTTCTTCTTTACTCTAAGGTCTGTGTGTGGATAGAGAGCTCTGATGCTCCGTCAAACACAAACACACACAAATGCTCACAGCGGTATTCATCGTAGCACACAGTTAAAGCACCAAAGTACTTGTTTTAACGGTGTCTTTGCATGATGGCAGCTATGTGTATAGTAGGAAGCATCCTTAAAGGTAAATGCAACATTAAACCCATGAACGGTGGGGGCAGTCTATCAGGATATAAAGTAAGGTCAGCAGCAGACTCCTAAAAATGACAATAACAATGCTGGCAAGCTTTCAAGTAACAATCTGGAAGAATTTAATTTGCATAAATGTCCGTTAAGTCTCTAAATATATCTGAAATGGTGACAGTTCGTAGTACTGTAGTAGTGATACTACTACAGTACTACGAACTGTGTGTCTGTGGCAACCTCCCAGGAAAAGGTGACACTGTCTGGATCTCTGAACAAACACACCTGCAGTCACAGCCTATCGCCAAAGAAACGGAAACGGAGATCTACGAGATAGTTTTTTATAATAGAAACTAATATATTTGTATTTATTGTATTTAGCTTTTTGCAGCTACAGTCTGACTTGGCCTCATACTCATCTTTATTGCCGTTTACCTCACATTACTTAGACTTTAGGACTATTCTGTACTTGTGCTAGAGATACAATACATTAGAATATTCACCATTTTCCTGTAATTACCATCTTGTGGCCACAGTGGCTGCTGGTCAGCTAAAGTTTCATACTGTAGGCTCGCCTTAACATTAACAATACAGGAACCTCCTCACGTGTCCACATTACTTTGCGCAAAACTAGGAATTCTCACAAAAACATTGCGGTGTCACTCAGTAAAGACTCACAGACAACACAGACGTGGACACACACACACACACACACACACACAAACATTGTGGCCTCACCTTGCCGAAGCTGCCTTTGCCCAGCACCATCAGGAAGTTGAAGTCGGCCAGCTTCATGCGATCCTGGTTCCCGTTGGAGTCGAACCTGGAGGCAGCATTGGCCGACTTGCCTTCTGCATTCTTGCCCGGTCCAATCTTGGCTCTCTAGATGAGAGACGGAGGGAACGAGAGGGCGGCATTAGACGAAGAAAACAGGCTGAGAGTGGACAGATGTATTTAAACAAAAGAAGTTATGATGGGGCAGCTGGAGATGTAGGGCCTTTAAACAGTTGTAGCCAGCAACTGAGGTGCTATTTGTAACATTTTAACCTCCATTAAAACATTTGAAACACTATACGGTATCGTAAACAGATTTGTAAGCATTACCATGACGCTTAATGTTTCACTATTAAAACAGACCGAGTTTTCAGATGTTTTCAGAACGCCAGATGTGAAAGCTGGAAAAGCTTTTTGTTAGAGCGTCAGAAGTGGAAGTGATGAATATGTTAAAGAAACTTTTTAGCCTTTTGGTTCATTCGGTTTCATTCATTCTGTGCAGGTTCACACTTTCCATAACAAATATGGCTTCTCTGCGAGTCTGCCACTCCACTCAATCACGACTGTCACCTCTTCCCTTGTCTCTGTCCTTCAACCACTCAGAAAGTTTTAGAACCATTTCTCTTCCTCTCTGTTCTCTATAAATTATTTCTCCTTCATCTTTATGAATGTGGCCCGTGTCTCTGACTCTCCATTTATTCATGTCCGTCACCACTTCCCCGTCTCTCTCCTCCGTTCACTCGGTTTCATTTCTCTCTCTCTCTCTCTCAGCCTTGACCTTGTCAGGCTCTCTCTCTCGTCCCGTCCCCGTCTTAAGAAACTATTATAATCTAATCTAATTATAATCTTATTCTCCACTTTGTAAAGCCATGCTTCAATTTAAAAACAGTCTTAAGACATTAACAAAATGCCTGCACACACGGAGGTGCAGGATGAGTACATATTATCCTATCTTATCTGAAATTGCTGATCCGCACTGAGGTTCTCTGCACTTCTTCTGCCCTGTGCAGTAATTTCTCCGCTGCCTCGTCTGGAAAATTGTCAGAGTGAAGCATCCAAGTACCCTGCTGCTCCCTGCACT